AAATGAAATTTCTGAGTGTAAAAATTTTTTCACAAGGATACGTATCCGTTTATTAAATTCGAAAGAATCTATTTATCTCTTTTCAAAATGCGCTCTAAGTATCAAGTATCAAAAGAAAGCGAAACGAACAATCCTTTTATCTCGCTTGCAAAAGATAAAAACCCTGGTGAGGAGGGGAAGATTAAAGGGATAAATCTGCGTTAAAGCAGCCTTTAAATAGACTTTCATATATTATTTTTTTTTCTTCTTTTCTTTTTTGGAACGAGGGTCTTAAAAGGACGTAAATAGCATTTTTCGAGTCAATAATTTAAATCCGAGATCACGCCTGCGTCTGACACCTATTGTTGACTTTTACTTAAAAATCTAAATTTTTTTTTTTTTTTTTTTTGTTTGAAGAACACAGAGAACACGTAACGCAGAATAAATGACAAGATTTTTAATTTGAAAAATTGATGAAGAGTCGTAACAAAATTTTCCGGCTATAAAAACACGGATTTCACGTTTCCCATCTGAGGAAAAAAATTCACTTGCATCGCGTTTCCGTTGAATTCTTCGTTTATAAGTACTATATATCGACATTTGTAAAAAATATATACATATATATGTATATAAAAAAAAGAAAAAAAGGAGAAAAAACTATATGAAAAATAGTGGTGGGGAAAAAAGTGAAACTAATAATAGAAAAAAAAAAAAAAAAAAAAAAAAAAAAAAAAAAAAAAAAGAAAATAAAAGACACTCGCGTTTCGTTGCCGCAAACAAATCAGTATGATTGAATGAAGTCAATTTACTTCGGTGCATCGCGATTTCCTCTCTCTCGCCCCCCGCACACTTTTTTTTTTTTTTCTTTTTTTTGTTTTTTCCAATTCGAACGCTTTTCTCGTTTCACCCACGTTTCACGTGCGACCTGTAACCGGTATATATATACAGCTTGCACAACCGGCGTTTTTGATTTCGCCTACTTTGCAAACGTTTGCCAGGTCATCCGGAAGACAGAATGTAAACCGAATGTATACATCGAATCTGTGCATGTTGTGTACGCCTATATACATATATTCGAGCGAGTTTTTTAACCCCAACCACCCAACTCATAGCTGCACGCTTTTGTTGGCGTGCAAACAGTTCGATGGCGAAAAGATCGAAGTTTATTTTATTGTTATTTTTTTTTTTTTTTTCCTCCCTCAACGAGTCATATTTACCGTAACGTATCGTGATATTGCAAATAGACTGCGTCGATCGATATTCAATGTCGTTTCGTCTAATGATGTTTGAAGAAAATTACCATTGAAACGGGAAAAAAAAAAAATTTTTTTTTTAAATTGCATTTTTATCTTTTGAATATTCATACGTGAGTTCGTTTATTGCTTGAAAATATAAAAAAGATATACACCCAGTTTAAAAGACACGTGTTTAAAGAATTTGAAAGTTCGAGTTCGAAAAGTGATTAATTATTTGAAAATAATTCTTCTTATTACCTTAGAATTTATTCTAATAGTTTATTTTTTATTCGAATTTTTTTATACCATAGGAAAG